AATACCCTATGATCTCACTTAGGTAGAATCTAAAAAAAAAAAAAAGAACAAACTCATAGATATATAGAACAGATTGATGGTTGCCAGAGGCTGGGGTTGGCAGGTGAGCAAAATGGGTGAAGGGAGTCAAAAAGTACAACTTCCAATTATAAAATAAATTAGTCATGGGCATGTAATGTAGAGTATGGTGACTGTAGTCAATAATACTGTATTGCATATTTGAAAGCTGCTAAGAGAGTAGATCTTAAAAGTCCTCATCAGAAGAAAAAAAATTTAAAATATGTATTGTGACATGTTAACTACTTATTACAGTGATCATTTTGCAATATATACAAATATCAAATCATTATGTTATATACCTGAAACTAACACGATGATGTATGTCAACTCTACCTTAATTTAAAAATAATGTAAAAAAAGTTGTTACACATTTGCCATACTTTATCTCTGTGAATTAGGATTTCCTCAATAATACAAAACTTAAAAAAAATTAGAAATAAACTGAATAAGTATTACATAAAAAAAAAACTTTGTCAGTGCCAACATTAAAAAGACAGGAACCTAACAGAAATAAATGGTGGCACAGTTTTACATGTTAAATGGTTATAATATACAAAAATACTACAACATGGTACTTTACCTTGAGAAAGAACTGATGTTTACTCATAGAAATAGGCATTGGAAGGGCTACAGCTTTCAAGTAATTGTGAAGTGATGCACAGAGAATTACTGGGAATCTAGTAGAAAGTCCTAATGCTGGCTGTGAATGGGAGTGACTCACAGCACATAGGGTGAACTGTGATATCTGGGAGAGGTCTGAGGTATGTGCATGTGTGCTTTTTGTCTATTCATACCCAGCTTAGTTCCACTGGGCATAGTTATCCGCTTTTACCTCCTGTTTCTTGCAGGCTAAGCAGATAAGAAATTCATGTCATGCTCAAATTATTTCCTAATATATCAATGGAGTTAGAATGAAATTCGAATTTTCAAAACAAGAGATAGAGCAGAACCGACTGTACCTATTACTCACACAAGACTACACACTTTCAATGTTGTCAGAGCATTAACTGTTTATAGTTCTAATATAAACATATTAATAACTTGTCTTCGATATTTCCTAGACGGTTTGTAAGTTAGCAAAAAGGAAATATTTTTTATTTTCCGTACAGTTTTTGAAGTTACAAAATGTAAACAAAAAGGTTATGTAAACCAGCTGTGTGGATTTTTATTTCCATTCGACATATGGAAAATCGAAGCACAGCCTACTATAAACTAGTATAAGCTGGATTACATTGAAATATATCGCCCTTAAAAAAAAAAACCTAAGAAAATGTCTTAAACATTTTATTTTAATGCTTTGGGGTCTCGGTTCATAGATTATTCCGATATACATATATATAGACCTCAAAATATAAATGTTACATAAATGAAAAATCTTCTAATATAATAACTTATATGCAATTACAATTGACCTTAGACCCAAAATATTTAAACAATCACATTTAATTGGCTGGTTCATCATGCCACTTCCTAATCTTGTCTCAAAACCTGTGCTAGAGTTAGACTGTTATCACTTATGACATGACAATAAGACTTAATATTTTTCTTGCAGGTAGTTTCCAAAGTAATTCTTCTTTCTCATTCAGTAAGTTGCTTAAAGTCTAAGAATATAGTTTAAATGTTCTCAATTTCATGGCCACACTAGAATCTTAAACTATAGCAGCTAGTTCACAAATGCTCTCAGCTACAAGTATTTATCATCAAGAAAGTGTTAATGCTTATCTGCTCATACCATTTCATCTCAACTGCTTTTCCACAAAGAGGAAAAAATACCCTCAATCCACTCTCGTCTTTAAGGAAAGTATCCAAATGCTTCTTTAATAGCCTAAGGAGAAAAAAAAATTTTTTTTTGCTTCAATTAGCCCACTGCACAGAGGAAAGGATGACAATTGTGTGATGCTAAGTACTTTTCATGCATTATCACTTACTATTATTAACTTTACAAAGTAGATAACATTATTATAATCTCATTTACACATGAAAAAACAGGAAGGTTAAGTAACTTGCTCAGTCATATACCTAGATGCTATAGGGGCTTTTAAAAAAAAAGCTATATTTCATAAATCTAAGATGCTTTCAACTGTACATCACACCATTATCTATACTCCATGGGAAGAGATAACACTGCCAATTCACTTGACATGCCACAGATGCAGTATGATTTCAGAGATGCTAAAATCTGAAAAACTAAAAATGTACATCTTAAAATTGGTCACATAATGTGTACCTACATTTTTATTTCTATTTCCAAAGTCGATTTCTGATAGAGCATTTCTCTGTATATACCAAACATTTCTTACTGGTGTCCTTGCTCTTGATGAAATGTAATTTTGCGGTCCACCCACTTTTCTTGCCATTCTTCCAGAGTTAGTACTTGGTTTTTCTGTACCTCAGTATTGTGGTGCTCTTCAATGTCAAGTAAAGTTCTTGTATCATCCATAGTTTTGTAGATACCTTTGTCTCACAAGCAGATGTCTCCAATACTTAAATGGAAAATATTTGCAATATTGACATTTAAAGGCATTGCAATTATGTTTAGGCATGAAATAAAAATCATTATCCTTGGCAGCATGACTTTTTAAAAATATTTCAACATCCAAGACAAAGCATATAAAAAAAAATCACTTTTCAGTGAGTCTGATGGTAGAGGCATAGCTCATATTACATGTTAGGAAAGATCTTTATTTATTTTTTTATTAAATGTATTATTTTTAATATGAAATTATATAGGTTTCAAGTGTACAATTCAATAATATGTCCTATGTATATTGCATTGTGTTTACCACCAGAAGTTAAATTTCCTTCCATCACCAAGAAAGATCTTTAAATTGAATTATACCTTAACATTAAAGTAAAAGGGTTTGATGTTTAAAAAAAAGAGAGAGAAAAAAACAAAACAGGTATTCCACACTTAACTTTTGTAAGCTTAGAATTTTTTCTAGCAATCACTCTTTAAAAAAAATTGTTTTTAATGTTTACTTATTTTTATCAATGTTATAACACATAATTTAAAGAATTCAACAGTTATGAAAATAACAATCCCCATTCCCAAATGAGAGAGGCAACCATCTTTAATTCTTTTAGCTGAGTTTTGAAACCTAACTCTAGATTTCAAAATAACATGCTTATTTTGTATCTTCTTGATTTTTCATTTCTAGGTAGCTTCTAGAGATGAACATTTAGCTCTCTTTCAACTTCCCAACACGCATACATACCCTTCTCATTTTTCCTATCCTTTCGAGAGACATAGCAGATTTTTGATTAAATAAGTAGAGTACACTATTAGTGTGAGTCAGTAAATACCACTTACAACTAAATCATGGAGAATTCTACGATTACTTTTCCTTTGCTATACAACTTTTTTATTGGGTAGATAATAATTGTCTTGCTTTTCCATTTATGAAATTTCTATGTAGTAGCTTGGATTATACTAGCATGCTATTATTGATGGGTTGAATTTAATAAGTTATTCATGAAAACAGTAAACATTGCATGAAAGTGAATATTTCAGGAAAGGTCCTTCTTTTGCAAAATTTGGCATCAGTGTGCTTAGGATTTAAGGAGAAGTCACGTCCTTGGAGTTGGGAATAAAAATTCACATCTCAGCAAACATTTGTTAACAAATAGCGTTTGCAAGGCCCTGATGACATCAAGAGGTGACTCTCAGAGTTTTCTGAGAGGTCAGGGGCAAGTACCTGGTTATGTTTTGTTCAGAAAAGCAAAAGAAGAGTTGCCGGTTTTCCATCTCCATTTTCAGCCAGAATTTTTGAAGCCTAGGCTTGAGCCTTCATTAAGCAGTTCCTTACTTAAAGGAGAAGCATTATTTTATCATAGAGGCAGGGCAATCTGGAATTATACAACTCTGTCCCTCTAGGACAACTTGAAATATAACACTACCATGACTATAATAGCTTAATCACTTCTTAGATGTTCTAGTAGCTTCTTAACTTGCCCATCTCTTTTCCTGAAGAAATAAAGTTTCTTTCTATAAGAAGATAAAAGTGCAAATTATAAGAATCGGGAAAGGCAAGCTTCACTATCATTCCTACCCATACACGGAAATAGAAGATGTGATAGTTTGTGGTCGTTCAAGTCCTCCGGGGGCGGGACCCCGTCTGGTTTCCTCCCCCACCTTTTCAAAAAACACGCTTCTGCTTTAGATTTATTTTTAAACTTTGCTAAATTGAAGAATAACTTCCCTGAAGTGCACAAATTTTGAGTACGGCTCATTGATTTTTATATCGGCATACACCTGTGTAACCACCAAGGCACACAATATTTACAGCACCCGAGTGTTCTCCACTTCCCAGCCCCCACTGAATCGCACACTATTCCGGCAGGTACTTCTCTTTTCTTAAAAACCACTAATACACAATGCTTTGGTTTCACTTTAAGTCGTGGAATAACGAGGTCATTATTCCCAGTTCCCACTCTGCTCTCTCAACCCCATTTTAGGGCGCGGATTGTTGGGCTGTTCATGCTTGTTACGCTGCCCTATTCAGGAATGCTATTACAGGCTCACACTTAGCAAATCCTTGCATTTCTTGCTCGAATCCTCTCTCCGCGTCAGGGAGCTTACCTCGCTCGCCGACCGCTGCGTACAGCTGGCTCAGTATGGGGCCATGCGCCCCCACCTCCTCCCGGCGC